ACCTGAAAATGTTTGATTATTTTAATTTAGTTGTGCTGTGAATAATTTCAATGTGCTGTTCATCTTAAAATGATGATTAGAAAATTCTTTCCCTTGCCATTGGTTACACAGTTCAGACAGCAATTGCACACTATTAGTTTTTTTGTACCAACTCTCCATACTGCCTATTTAGTACATCTCATCTTTACACCACTGCCAATGCTGGGTGTGTGTATCATCTCTATGATTCAAGAACTACAGAAAATCCCCCCATTGTTACTTCAGCAAAATTACAAACACAAATGTATCTAGTCTAACTGCTCGATGTAGATATAGTTAGGAAACCAAAGAAGAGAATAGCATATCTTTATCAAACAGATGTCTATTAACTCTATGATTTAAAAATATTAAGATTTCAGTGGAGCAAAATTTTGAGTAGAGGCCTTTGTAGGCTAACAAGTAGCAATGCAATTATCAAAATAAAAACAAATATGGTTTAAGATCCCCCAACACACATCAAACATCTTTCAATCATTTTTCACTGTTAATAAAAATAAAAAAATAAGACAGAAAACTCCCACCACTGTATTAACTTACTGACCCATCATCTTCAAATAGTTTATTACAAAAATTAGAAGCAAATTAAGGAATTAAATACTATAATAACAATTTAATTTTCTGTTTGATGTTTTGTTAAAATGTTTTGTATAATGACCAAAGTAAGGGGTCTCACCTTTTAGAAATACAGAAAATTGCTAAAGATGTCTTTTGTGATGATAAAAATGTCTATTTATTGACATTCGTACTTAAAATACTTTCTTTAAAACCTTTCCTATTATCATACAATATTTTATTTACAAAATACAAGTGCATTTTTGTGTAAATTACAAAAAGTGTATTTTTTTGAAAAAATGACATTATAACATAAATCTGAGTGTGGATTACACTATAAGAGCTGGTTTGTTAACAAATTTCTATTGAAATGTTATGTAGTTTTTTGAAAAAATGACATTATAACATAAATCTGAATGTGGATTACACCATAAGAGCTGGTTTGTTAACAAATTTCTATTGAAATCTTAGTTTGTAGATATTAATATACCTACCTTTAAATGGTTAAGAAAAATACAACATTGCCACAAGACTTTCTTCAACTGTTGTATCCACTGGACAGCATAATCCTTATTCAAAGCTATTGCTACGTAGCAGTACTGGCAAACAAAAACAAAATCAATACTTGTAATATCAGATTTACTAACTTATTCTCTGTTCCTTTATTAAGAGATTAATCTTACTTGAGTAATCTTTTCAGTGTTGTTATAAGCATTAAGTTTTTCATTCTTTTAATAATTTTGGAATATCAAAGCAACAAAACAAAGAGACTGATTAATCTTTTTCAGTGTTTGGAACAGAAATCTTGTCACATTTTATTATATTTTTCATTGTTTGAAGGATACATAACTACCCTTATATAAGATTATCAAAACAATATTTTAAAAGCAAGTGGAAAAAAACTAAAGAAGTGACTGAACACTTTTTAAATTTATCAAACATTCTATTTTTCCAACCCCTAATGCTCAACTGCCTAAGAATGAGTGAACTAAAAGTGCCAAGTGACATGGAAGAGGAATATCCTAAAACATTTTATATCATGCCCCAAACAAATAACCTTTTTACTTTGCTTCATAGCCATTTTTAATCATACTTTTTTTATCTTTCATTAGTATATGGATGTGCTTTTAGGTTAAGCATGAATATATATGTGTGTGGATATATATATATATATATATATAAACACACACACACACGCACATGTAATTTTTAATAATTATCTCTGGGTGATTGTAAGCTTAATAACAAATTCTTTAAATTATAAATGTATGAATATAAACACACACATGAGCTTGATAAATAACACAATTTTAGCTAAAATTAACCCTTGAGAGAGAGAGATCATGGGTGAAAGGCCATGTCATCTCATTTGTTGACTTGTATTCAAAATTTTAGAACTAGTATTTCATGAATTTATGTAAATAACTTTGGCATCAAACTGTAGATTATAATTCAAATTTTAGTATTATATATTACTCAATTTCTTAATTTAAATAAAATATTAAAAAACACAGATAAACATCAATTTTTGTGTGTCATGTGGTATGTTGAATGCAGCACTGGTTCAAATTAGATGTTTGTGAAGTCAAAATACTGAGTCTATAGTTTTGTACAAATTAGAAACTAAAATTACCGATATTGATAAGCTAAAATACAAAATAAGAGCCTCTTATCTTTTCAATTTGCTAAGATATTGTTCATGTAATAAATCAAACACAGTGACATCCCACCCACCTCTTTCCATTTTTGGATATGCTCCCTTATATACATTATTTCTACATATGACATGAATAACCAATTGGAAACTCAGAATGTCCCCCTAGTGGCTTTCTCAGCCATTTTAATGGGCTTGGCACCATTTCTTTCTTTTTTCTGTTTTTTAGCATTATAAGCCTTCATACTTACCACTGAGCCATTGGGAGGCTCTTGTATTGAAATACAAAGATGTCATATTTTTTATTATTATTATTATTAGTATTGACAATCTTTGTAGTTACAAAAAGGGAAAAAAAAAAGTTGAATTTTTTTAATTATTTTAAAAGACATTGAAAGATACAACAATAAATAGATTCTCACTGACATAAAAGTATTTTTGCTTTAACAAATCAATTCAGATATTCTAAATACCAGTAGATTTTTTATCTTTTTAAATGGAAAATGACAAGGGTCTACTTATACTTAATGTTTAAATTTGATTAGACTGAGCTACTAAAAGTTTTTTGCATCATGTATAACGATTTAAACAATAATTCTAATGACATAAATACCGATATAATTCGTCAAATGTCTCCTAATGGGACAGCAGTAAGCCTTTGAACTTACAACATTAAAATCAGGGGTTTGATTCCCCTCGTTGGACACAGCAGATAGACCATTGTGCCTATGCTACGACAAAACACACACACAAACAAATCATCAATCAAAACTAAACCTCCTTAAATAAACAAATGTTATGCATAACATACTCTTCAGGCAAACAAAGTTTCCCGGGAATACCTAATGATAGGAAATAATAAGTTTGTGAACAGTATTTAAATCATAGTCTTAAAAAAGTTGTGTATACATATGGCTGTGAAATATCCACTTGAAGACAGTAAATTTTGTACAGAGTTACTATTTCCCACTTCATTAAATTTCTCAACTGCCATTAAGTATTCTATGTCAAAGCTGGTATCTTAATTAAAAAATATTAACATATTTTCCAAGACTACATATTAATATATTGTTTGACAGAAAAAATTATATAAGATCTTACTTTGAGAGAATTTGAGTCCATGCTGGTGATGATGTAACGACAAAGCCTTTCAAATCTCTGCCACAAAAGAGGAAATAAGAAAATGGCATACTGAAGTGAAATGAATATAAAAGACTGGGCACATTCTATACACATGTGTATTATATGAACAACGAGTTTTATGTTTCTTAAGTTAACAGACATGCTCTTCTTCATCTGAAAATGAAGTTTCTTGGTATAATCAATCAATAAAAGTTTCAAATTAAAATGAAAATTTTTTAACTATATATATATATATCCACACATACATAAACCTGTTACATGTAAAAGGAACTGACCAATAAATCTGTCATTCTGGTAAACTATTTAAATGCCAAAATGCTATTATCCATTTTAGAATTATTTATAATTAAGTGAAAAATTTTAAATATCACTTTAGAATTTGATATTTAGCCATAAATTAAATAAATTTTAATTGTAAACAAAAGCAATTTTGAGAAAGTTGGAGCAGAGGATGTGCCTTGGCATAGATGTTCTATCTTAAAACATTAAGCAAAAACACTGCACAGAAGATTCAGTAACAGTAGAATATAACATATAAAATTTGCCTCTGAAACAAAGTATGAAGTAGAGAACCAACAAGTACATGAATGAAAGCCCAGAAAGTAGGAAGAAGTGCACTTATAACAGCAAAATAGTAGTACAGAATACACAAAAGTTATTATTTTCCTATACTGAAAACGTATTTCCAATACATACTTACCTCCTCTCACATATATAGCTATTCTCATTCAGTACTGCTCTTTATATACAAAAATCTTTTGTGCATGCCACAAGCCTTGAAGCTCCCACCCATGTGTAATTGACTGATTCCATTGTGTTTTGCATGCAAATCATCATGCGACAACCCTCCACCAATAAGAATGCATCACATTTATCCGTATATCATTTTTGGACACTTAAACAATATTTGCATTAATTAATTAATCCTTTCCAAACCACAGATGGTGAAACCATAACTGCATATCAAATTTCACAATTTAATTAAAAATAATAATTCTAACTAAATTTCCACAATTTTTTAAACTCAAAAGTCTTTCAAGAATTGATATTTTGTCATTTTGTAACAATTTTCCGATTTAATTTTAAAAATGTGTAAATTTACATTTTTGTACACCTCTAAGGAGACTTGTCATAGAACACACAAATACATATCACTTAGAATTTTTCTGCCTATTGCAAAGCATAGGTTCTTATTTACTAAGAAGCTAATATCAGTTGAGCATTTAATTAGCCAAGTCTCGTTTCTGTATTGATTTCCTTGATATTATTATTACAGGTTTACACTGCAACATTTTTAAGATGTCACAGCATATGTTCTGAACAACTACTATGAAGCTCAGCTTTCAAAGTAGCTACAGGCAGAGTATAAATACTAAGGATAGAGCATATTATAAACTGTTTACACCAATGTAGAGTAAATAAAGTGGTGTGAAAAGCAATTTATGGTTTTATGGGAAAAAAAAAACTGGATGCAATGGGTACTTTAGAAGATTTATGTGCAAATCAAAAAGCTGGAACTCTTTAGTTTCTTTACATGTTCTTTTAGTTCCTGAAAATGTTTTCACATTAAATCATATCTGTTTGAAATGGGTGATGTAAAAATATTCCAATGACTCAAATCCTAATTTGTTGAATATTATTGTTGTTTATTACATTCAACTAACACCCATAAATAAAACTTATAATTTACTAAAAACAAAGTATAATTATTATTCTATTAAATATCAATTAATCTTGATTATGAATATTATTATTATTATTTAGTTTGACCTAGGCCAATGATATGTTTTTGCCAATTCCTGAAGTGTTTTTTGTACAATTATACAATTAGTACTAAATCTATTGAAAGAAGCTATTTCAAACTTTAAAATGTATTTTGTAAAATATTTTATTTTTTATTAAAATTTTTTAGGTTTTAATAATGGCAAAAAACAAAACATGAAACTACATCAAAGACTTGTTAAATTAGTATATCCAGTTACAAACATACTTAGCTGATATGTTCATATCACTGGGCATTTCCATGTGTGATTTATACATAGTCTCATGCTGACAACTAAGTACTATACTACCAACTAACATACAAACGTATGTACATATGTTAAGGCAACATAGTATATGACACTGGTGACTGTATAAGTGTATAAAAGCACTAAAAATTCTATAGCTCTAATTACAAACTATTACTAAGATGCCACAGCTTGTTATTTCTCAGTAATCTTTTAATGAGGTTTTTTTTCTTCTCTAGTAAATGATAATACCATAGTACAATTTGTTCTTTTTATTTTTGTAAACAGTATACAAACATCAACTTACTTCCTTGTCATCAGATTGATGTAAGACAAACATAAATCCTTGAATGACTTCATTCATTTCCAGAGCTTCAGGAAGAGAGAAACAATAGTTATAAGAACAGCTAATAAAAATGGCTGTAATACCATTTACAGTGCTATGATACAAGGTGTATAATAACACATGATTCCATTCAAAATCATAAAGTCAAACAATGTAGATTTGGATAGAGATTATGCATTGATTTTTGTAGGTAGATTGGCAACTTAGTTGTTTTATTCAACAATTTACTTAACATAATGAATGAAAGCTGACTGTAATATCTACAATAGTTCATGCTGTTTTATAAGCACTAAATCATATATAAAGGTTTGTAGTATAGGTGGGGATCAATTACAGTCACATTCTACAGTGTAATCCTGTCACTGTGATTAACTTTTGAAATAGGAACCACTCTTGTGTACCTTCAGATAAGGGACTGTCAAGCCATTTCTTCTGATGTAGAAATGATGCATCATACTGAATCATAAGTACTATTACTAGAACTGGGTGATTAGTGGAATCTGTTAATCTATTAATTGTTTGGCTCATTAATCATATACATTCAACTGTTAATTGATTATTCTCACTGATATTCATGAGACTAAACTTCCTATTTTCAGCTTGTTTGGGGATTTTTAAAAACATTTTCAAACTACTCTTTGCTAGATATGGTAAACCTCTTTAGGTATAATAATTTAGGTTTAAGTTACCTATTTTTAATCATGTAAAAAAAATATATATATATATATATATATATATATATATATCAGAGCTTACTAGATGAAGTAGTTATTTCAAACATAACCAAAAAGAAATATTTATCATCTGAAAGGTTTGAATATTAATTGTTTTAAATATGAACAGAAATCTGATATAGGTCTATAGCCAAAACTAGCTGTGTGTTTTTAAAATACTTTATTTGCAAGGTTTTTTTATGGGTAATAAAGTTCATTAACTGTATATACAAATTTGTTTGACAATATCAGAAGAGCACTATGTTGCTTAATTCTCTCAACACGTGACTTCTTTGTACTCATTTAAAGTCTTTATAGATTTAATACTTCTAACTTTCAATGTATCTTGTATACATTCACAAAATTAGCAGTCTTTCGATTAATATTCAGGAAACTAAGAGGTGTGTGGTGTGGTGTTACGAACATAACACATACACAATGTAGAAAAAGTGAATGTTATGATTTTCCTATACTTAAAATGTATTTCCGATAGATATTTACCTTCGCTCATATAAATAGCTATTCTCGTTCAGTGTTGCACTCAACACGAAAACATTTTTTGCACATTCCACAAGCCTTGAAGCTCCCACCTATCTGGAATTGACTGATTCCAATGCATCTCAGATGCAAACCATCATGTGACAAACCTTCACCAATAAGAGTGTGACATACACTCTTGACACGTGACTCCCTCTATTCAATTTTACCAAAATGTCACTTCAAGTTCTGGCAGAAAATGGAAGCACTGGTTTTCAGTGGGGAGGAAGGGTTGAAAGTTTGAGAAGAGGTAAGTTTCTATCAGAAATACATTTTTAGTACAGGAAAGTTATAACTTCTGATACAGTAGCTAGAATCCCACATTGAACAGATGGAGGACCAGTGTGTGGGAAAGAAAGAAACATCCTTTGAAAGCAGCCAAATGGCACTCCTGATGAGGAGGTATGTGACGAAGTTGAAGATCATATGTGGGAGGCTGCACTATTTCTGTACCAGGTATGCTCTTTGCCCAGTGTGGAAAAAGGTGTTGCAGATATGGGTGGAAATAGGGAGAGAACTATGGTTGGATAGGGATCTGAACCACATGATACATGAATCTCAATCCCATAATATATAAATGCGGGTGAGAGTAAAAGAATGTGCTTCCAGGTGTAAAGTGGCTAGGGCATGACAGACCATACATGGCAAGTCAACTACATAGAAAACCCAGGCTGATAGAAACCAACATCCACGTGGGAGTAAGATGAGGATCAAAGCATTGGTAAGTCAACTACAATCGAAAACCCAGCCAAGAGGAACCAACATCTATGTGGGGGTAGGAAAGAGGATCATACCATCAGCAAGTCAACTACAATACAAAACCCAGCCATCAGGTGGGTGTAGGAAGGAGGATCATACCGTCTCCACCTCAAGTTTATGAGACCGGAGGGAATCTCTTACCCCCCAACCTATGAATAGGACAAATGATAGCAATGTGAGAAATTGATCGATCAATCTGGGAACCCGACATCCAGCATCAAAAAGATGTCTGTGTAATGTAAACCATCTCCCTCAAAATCAAAATGACAGGAACCATCCTAAGCACAGTAACATCCTCAGAATAACAAGAACATCGAGGGATAGCAGAAGAGGAAGAACCGTATTATTCTGCAAGTACCTCCACCGTGACCTACAACATAGATGGAGTAACAAGAGGATAACTGAGTGAGTGAATAGAGACATCTAAAATACATGTGTGAGGCCTTATGTTGATTGGTTCAGCTCTAAATTCAAAACCCAGCCACTGGGGGTAGGATGAGGTATCCCAATCAAAGGATTGAACTGCAATTTTGATGGCTCAATCTCAAGATATATAAAATGGAGGACAACTTGTCATCTACACCAGCAAAACACCACTGCCCTAATCTCAACTGAATGGTTTAGTTTATATATTGTTTCTCATTATTTCATTCAGGTGGATGCCTCCATGGTCCACCACCTCAGTGGCTTAGAACTGGAAAGAGATAAGGGCTCCTAAGCTTAACTAGAAGGGGGGAGAAAGCGCAGTGGAGAGTCTGTTGAAATGAAAACACCTGAAACAGTGCAACGGGTGACCACAAAACCCTATTTTGTAAAGCAGACCATACTGATTTATTCAATACAAGGCATGGCAGGAATGGGCATCTATACCCTTCTGCTTTACTCATGTAATCCATAGGTGAGTACGGTCCAGAATGGGTGAACTAATGAAGCAAAAATATTGTGAGGATAAACCTATAAGTGATCTTGTGTAGCACACCATCTCAGCAGTGTGCCTTTAGTGACCATGGAATTATAATTGTAAAGTCATCATGGCCTTACAGTGTGGCTTTGACTAGTTTAAGTAAATCTGGACAGGCACCACTCACCACATAGCGAGATTCATAAAGAAAAAGAGGGACATGCCCTTGAAAAATAAGAGGTATAAATACTAAAAGGTAACTTACCCAGTCACACAAAAGAATGAAGGGTGGCAACAAGTGAATGACGGTACCCTGACAGGGAAGAAACAGCTACCCAAAGCAGATAATGGAAGATGAACGTATGAGGTGTAGTCCCAGTGCTTGACAGATGAAGTACCTCCAACGGACTACAGGGTTAATATGTAGGGAAAAGAAAAGGGGCATGACTGGAATAAAGACACCAGGAAATGATGATGGGAAGAAGGGGACAAGGAATAATAGGCCAATCAAAACACACTCCAAACCCATGGGTCAGGGATGAAGGAAAAAAACAATAAAACACTTGAAGAGAGCACAAACTAAATGTTACAATATGAGTACTGCCAAATTAGAAGTGTTAGTTCAGTATAATTATATAGAGGGAGTCACATGCATCAAGAGAGTATGTTGCACTCTTATTGGTGGAGGGTTTGTCACATGATGGTGTGCATGTGAGATGCATTGGAATCAGTCAATTCCAGATGGGCGAGAGCTTCAAGACTTGTGGAATGCACAAAAATTTTTTGCATATATAGAGAGCAGCAATGAATGAGAATAGCTATTTATGTGAGAGGAGGTAATGTACTGTATCAGAATTACAGTTTATCTACCACTAAAGAACAGAGTTAAACATATATAAATTACAATGTAACACAATGTAAAAACTGATTTTACACCTTATTCAGCATTAAAGAATGCAGGTGTGCAATTATAAATTGGAAACATAATACATTGTACAAAAAATAAAACAGTAATTTTAAACTATATTCAACACTAAAGTAGCTCAAAACTTGGCAGTTGTTGCCGTCACCTAGTTGCCTACCCTTTATCTGGCAGTTTGGTAGTTCAAAATTAAGAATGATGTCATATAGATTTAATAGTTTTGCCATAACTCAAAAGCAAATATAATGCCCCTGTGGCTGAAAAGGCAAGCAAATTGGTGGCAGCAGGAATTAAATCCAAGACCCTCAAATCATGAGGCAACCCCTTAATCACCAGGCCATGCCTACCCAGAGCTGAACAAAACTGAAATAATTAAAAGTGGAAATATATTTAGTATTACTAAACTGTGATACTCGTATTTTTTGTTTGGTAGTACATAATAGTATGTGGGGAAGTTATATAAGACTTCACATATCTCCAAGAAAAATTAGTAACAATCAGAACTGAGTAATTAATTGGATTAATTTATATAATTGATTGCCTTGATCAGTGTCACATAAAATAATCGGTTTATTAGAATTCCAATGAAATTGATTAGTAACACAAAAATAACCAATTAACCGAAATTAGTATTTCCAATTATTATTCATTTTAATTACTCCAACAATCCAAGTAATCAAAATATTGGCATTATGATTTTTCAAAGCATAATCACCTTCTGTGCTGATATTATATACAATATTAAATACATATTAATAAAATTACAATCCCAGAATTATAATTATCTTGGTAGAATCCAATTTACAAAGTTTCAAGTTCAGCCATCTGCAAGATAATACTATATTTATTATAGTATGTCTATCAATTAATTACTGTTAGGGATAAAAGTTCTGTAACAAAGGTAAAGAACAGTTACCAGGGACTAACTGTGGTTGTTCATCTTCTTCAATCTTCTGAAAAACTGCATCAAAACTTTTCCTCAACTCATTTTTCAGCTTCTGCCTGGCAACAAAACCACGTACATGTGCCTGTGTTAATAAACCAAATGTCAGCACATGCAATCTAATATACATATATATTTTAAACAGAAAAAAAAAACCCAGTAAATTATGTTCACCCTACAGTTTTCGGTTGATCAATAAATAGTAACCTTCCTGTTTCATGTACTTTGGTATGAGATCATGATTCAGGGTTCGTGTTATAAAAACAATTTCTTAGAAATTTTGCTAATTTTAGGTGGAAATTATTAGCCAACATTTTTTATTTTAACAGCCAAGCCAGTCAGATTTAATTTAGTATAATCATTAACCTGTTGATGTTTAGGTATAAATCTAGTTTTAGATCCCTTCAGAATATAATTGTTCCATTTAGCTTTTCTACATCATTTACAATAGTAAAGCTCTGTCGTACACTTCTTTTTCTTCAGATCCAAGCTACCTGTCTGTCCATTTCCTGATAATCTCCTTATCTAAATATTATGGTCTTTACTTTCATGTTCTGCTTCCCATTTTGATTTTCTATTTTTCACATACACAGTATCCAGATAAATCATGCTTTTGTGTAACTCCTTCTCGTTTGTTCATGATGTTATCAATAAACTCGTTAAAAAGTCTTAACAGCTGGTGCATGAAAATGTATGACATCCTCTCCATTAACAAGTTACAGTGCAGCCTGCAGGTATCTGATTAATATTACGTGACTGATAACTGATTCAGGTTGGAGAAAATGGCAAATGTTGTTTATTTGTGGATTATTAGCTAATGGTTTATTTTTATTTTTAAAATCAAACTGAACAAGTTCATAGTGGCCTTACCCAAGGTCAGGAAACCTTGGTGTTTGGTGAATAACAACATAAATCCTGCAATCAGTTAGTTTCCTTGACTAATTTTATGAATCAATAAAAAAAAGTTATTTGTTTGTGTTTGTTTCGGTGGTTGATCAGTAACACAAATGAGGCAAATATATTTATAGTTGATTTATATTTCCATGTTCTTACAGCAGTACTTACAACCAAAAATATGAAACATTTAGTTATTGTCACTGGCAGAAATTAATAAAAAAAATTAACTACATAAAATCCCATTGTCCTGATAGTAAAAGTGTTTCAAATTTCATGAAGAAATCTAGACACCAAAACATGAAATATTTAAAATCACGAATGTTGTCCAACCCAATACTACATCATATTCTTAAAAATCATAAATGACAACTTATGTCCAAAGAAACCAATAAGCAGAGACACTCAGTGTCATAAAACATTAAATGACAAAAAGTTAACATTTTCCTTACCTGAAAAGATATTTTCCTCTATGCACTTCTAAGACATATTACTTCACATGCAGCTGCTGTGTAAATACCTGGTCAATCCACAAGCCTTGAACAAACTCTCACCCCTAAATGTGTCTACGTGTATTAAGCCAACCTATGATGTAATCATCTTAATGCTGTAGCTCTTCACCAATCAATGGGTGACACAACTTCTATGTGCAGTAATCCCCATAAACACCAGCACATGATCATTATTAGTTCATCCTTAGCAAGATAAATATATCAGAGACAGGGAGATGGTGCAAGAGAGATGTCTAAAATACATTTTCATGGAAGGAAAATATTAACTTCAGAAATGTTATTTATCTCTCTATACCACTAAGAGATAGAATCCCACATAGAAGATGGTGGAGGGGCTGGTGCTGATCAATTATAAAGATGAGCTCCTTTCTGAAATAGTGGCAAAAAAGAGAAAGCCCATAGGATGAGACTTCTACAAGATCAGGGGTTTCCTAGCAGAGCAGCACTCAGTAGGGAACCACACCCTTTCTCAAGCTGGGAGTACTCAATGCCCATTTTTTTTTGTATAACCCGAGTGCTTTTGAAAGATGGACCTTTTTTTCTTCAGGGGCAAACTGAGGTGGTAGAGCAAAGAATATCAGGAAAATCCAGTGGAATGTTAGAATGTGTAGTGTGGTTAGAGTCTCATGAAATAGATACAATAACAACAGATGGAGAGAGGAGGAACTCTAACCTGCATCCCAAGGCAAATCCAAATCCCATCCAGCTGGACATATCCACCAGGAACTGTTTAAGAGTGTTCTGTACTACATACCCAGGCTTTACATCTCAAACAAAGAGTGGACCTAACTATTTTTTTTTACCAGGTGGGGAGGCTCCACTCACAGAAGAAAATTCTCCATATCGACAACCCCAGTGGCTTAAGACTAGGTAAGTACAGGTTCTCTCGTGTTCCACTAGAAAAACAGGGGGATATGCACAGGAAATAATAATATAGAGTATGTGTTGACCACTGTCACTGGACACAATTATCTGGAATTGGTTCCCACTAAAAGACGATGCAATGTGCTACTATAATTAAAGAAAGAAATCATAAGTCAGATGGAAAGGCAGTACTACATTTGGTGCTGTCTGTTTTGTTTTTCTTTTTGTAAAAGGTGCAAAAAGAAAAGTAGTCAATCAAAGAGACAGGAAGCTCAGAAGGCATAGGAAATATCATACCTGAACACAAGTATGGATTACTGAGCATACCAGGTTATGTCACTTTTATTGGTGGAGAGCTGTAGCATTATAGGCTGGTGCAATACATATAGACACATGTAGGGGTGGGAGTTTGTTTAAGACTTGTAGCATGTGCAGGAATTCCATTGTAGTTGTGCATGACATAATGGCTCTTAGTGGTGCAAAAGGTAACACTTCTGAATTTATCTAAATACATAATCTAAAGCTAAACTAAGCTATCTATTACAAAAGATAAAATATTTAAACAGGTGCTTATTCTAATAATATTCATATTAGCTTGGTTACTACATTTAATCATCGAGAGTTTCTCTATGTACCCATGCATAATGTTTTGGCTAAAAGAAAGTTAAAGTAATTAGAATATGAATGAGAAATATTAAAACCAATTTTTTTGTTATATATTATCCATTAGCTAATTTTCACAGTTACCAACCTGAATCACAGAAGCAGCTTTTTCTCGCTTCCTTTCCAGGGCCCTTTCTTCTCTAGCAGCTTTAGTTTGCTCTAGAAACTGATTCTTTGAACTTGGCTTACCTTGGGAAAACATTTTACTTCATGACATCTGGTTACTGAAAAGAAAAAGGAGAATACCAGTGCATATGACAAGGTTTGAATCTATACATGTTTACAGGATGTGTTCCCCACATCTGTTTCAAAATCATTAAAGTAAAAAAGACATTCAATGCAGATCATCCCCATTGATGCTCAAGTACCATTATTTATAAAAAAATCTGTGAAACAACAAGAAAAGCAATGTTAATTTCCTCAATATTACAATGGGAATTAGCTTATGAGACACTGCAAATATGTATACATAGTATTAATGCTTGGAGATGGCTTGAATGGGTAATGAAGAAAACTTTAATATAAGATTAACATAACAGCAAATGTTCAACGTTTCGACAAGGTTTTGTCATCATCAAGGCTTACAATATATATCTTTCCGGGTTTCATGAAGAGATGGTTAATATAAAGAAACTCTTACAAAAAATAGTTTCTCTCTATATTTTACTGACAATACTGTTGAGAAATATTTAGAGACTTAATACACCATTAAAATTATCAAATGTACTACAACTAAACAGTTTATTGTATTTTGCCACATATAGGAATACATACTTTATAATTGAAGCAAAATATTAAAACTGTTTCAAACTGTAAGAATTGTTTTTAAGACAATATTTCATTCAAGTAACTACTTTAAATTTAAAGAGTGTGTTCCAAAAATCATTATAAAATTATGTGTCCAAGGTGTAACCATGGCTATATGGGCTCTACCATTCATTAATTAAGTTCAAGGATTAAAGAGCATGTGCAAAATACTCCATATATTTAGTTAGATATGCTTCAACATGATTTACAAGACTGTGACTTTTTGCCTACTGCCCAAGAATTCAATATTCTAGGAAGTGCAACAAAATGTTAAGAAACAAATACATGTGGTTAAGTAGATAACCAATTTAATGCACAAGTGCATGATGTATTACAGAAAATTAATAAAATAAAAAATAAATGAAATTATCAGATTTAAAATCATCTCTACGTTTTGACTGGGCCAACCAGTCGTTCTCAGAAAAACAATAAACTTCAAATTCTACTTCTTCTTCTCGGTCTCTGAGATTCACAAGTTACATCCTGAAATTACACCAATTTACCTCTTACTCTCTTGACAGACTATGACTGACAGAAACACATTCAATAAATAAATCACTCTGTTAGTGTTAGAAAAATAAAACCATCTTAACTTGTGCCTAGCCTATCTTTCACAAATCTTAATCTTAGGTCCTATATATAATCAATTCACTAGATAATTTAGTAAACTTGAGTAAGATCACTTCTTGATATCCTTTTCTTAATAAAATAAGAGAATCTATCCCTATAAGATAACCCTATTGCCCCAGGAATTATCCTTGTAGCCCTCCTCTGAACATCTTCCAATAAGTCAATATCCTTTCTTAAATATTAAAATAAGGAGGCCAGAACTGTACAAAGTCAGACCTAACCAGTAACCAGTATAGAAATAATATCCTTTTTTGATTTGTAATCAATATGCTTATAAACATTTATTACAATAGCCAAAATGCAATACCTTGAACTTACTTTAATTTAAAAAATAAAATCTAAAAGCTAATTTAAAAAAATAAAATAATTTCCCACGTGATCACAACTTTTAATGCAAGACACTTTTGATCAAAAGTGCATGGCAACTTGTATTACAATGCATCATATTTTACTTCAAGTCACAACTATCATTGGCAGTAACAGTGATATGTAAAAAATGAAGCACTTATTAAAAGTTTGAATATGATGACAAAGAAATCTGCTTTGAAGTTGAACTTTTTAAGTTGAATGGGTAATGAAGAAAACTTTATTAAAATATTAACATAGTAACAAGTACATAACGTTTCAACAAAGTTTTGTTGATGATGACAAAACCTTGTCGAAATGTCTTACATTTGTTATTATGCTAAACTTGTTTTCTTCATTACCCATTCAATTTCAAACCGTCTCCAAACTTTACTTACTTTTGGTTATTATTGGTTAATGGTTTGCAACTCCACAATATACTGTTAGTGTTACTTGTTAGTTGAACAGCAGCAGTAATATTACTTTGGTCTAATTTTACCAAATTATAATTATTATTGATTGTTACTATTACTTATTAATAATTAATAACAATAATACGGCTCCGGCCTTACAAAATCATAACTTTACAAAAAAGTAGGCTTAGCCCTAGAAATTGGAACAAAAACAATTGCAATTTGCAGGAACTTCTGTTTGAGTCTTTACAGTTTACTTACCAACATCGGATACAAGCAGAGTAGTACTATATTTCTAATTTTTTATCTGTGTATACTGTTCGTAATTTCATGTTCAGTTGACTAACAATATCACCAATAGAAATTAATTATGATTACATGGATAACGTGAACCTAGGTACCCTTTTAATTTTTTGTGTTTTGTTTACAATGAAGAATATATATATCTTTTTCAATAGGTGGCACACTAACACTCTTATGACAAAAATAATATAATAATGATCTGAAACACTGTTCAAATACTGTAACTAAGACGATTGTGATAGAAGCTTTAATTATGAATCAAATGTTTTATTACATAGAGTGGCATAAAAGACTGTTATTTTGACAGTTTGAAATATTTTACACTTTGAACACAACGCTGTTTTTTCTGTACAATATCTGGCACAAGACAGTTGGCAGAACATAACTTGTGATTTCACATTATAACAATAAATCTAGATTTTATAATCAAATCAAATCTGTGTATCTTTACAACAAATAAATAAAAAATTAAAAGGTTTTTGAAACAAAACATTTACATTCAAGTCTATTAAAATTATAACTAAATGTAATGTTCAGTGTAATAATTAAAGATAGGTATGTAATCAGCTGCTAAACTTCAACAATGCGCAGTTTTCATATGTTTAAGTATTCATCTAAAAATATAAAATGTTGTTTCACTTACTGTAATATTTACTTACCAGATAACGCTTCAAACGTTACTCCAAGTTTTCTATTCCTCCTTAAAGTGTGTTTGTTTGTTGAATTTCGAGAAAAGCTACTCCAAAGCTATCTGCGCTAGCTGACGCTAATTTTGAAATGATAGACTAGATGGAAGGCAGCTAGTCAACACCGCCAACCCTTGGACTAATTTATCACCAATGAATAATGGGATTGACCGTCATGTTATAAAATTCACATGGCTGAAAGGTCGAGCATGTCTAGTGATGGGATTCAAACCTGCGGCCCGCCGATTATGAGTCGAGTGCTTAACTCCTCGTGGGTCAGCTGTAAATTTACAGACTTACTAAAATCTGGAGTTCGGTTTCTCGTGATGGACAAAGCGCAAATAGCCCAGCGTGCAGCTTTGCACTAAAAATGTTGTAACATGTCCTGTCGCTGGTCGGGTTATTTTGGGTTTTCAGGTAAAAACAATACGAACACGTAACAATAAAAAAAATAATTTCATATCTTCCTTAATATTTGTTACAGGCTGCTTCCACTAATATTTTTAAGCTTAAGTGCACAACAATACTTCAACAGAAATTCCGAGACTAATGGTTACGCCACTCACAAATAAACTTACTTGTAGAATTTCCTCGCTAATCGTTCGAGTAACTGAATAGACTCGATAAATTCACTTATAGCCCCAAATTGCTAACAAAGTTTCTGAAGTGAATTCATAAGCTCACTTAATTACTCATATTTATAAATAATGTAATCACGCTTTTAGACATTATATGAAACTTCTCGATTATTACATCATCATCATTAGCAGTTCTCTCCAGCAAACAACTAAATTATAACATTAAAAATACAGCTTACAACATTGCCCCTGCCTGGATTGTGAAGTTTCTTGAACAATCCTAATATACAAATAAAACAGTACACTAAACTATCCATTCACCAAATATTTTTGATGCTATAATGACTACCCTCCATATTGTCACTGGAAGCTCAACCTCTGGTGTAGTAATAGTCATGTAGTGTGCAGGGATTTATTGGTCGTATACTATGAAGCTATTTGAAGCAGGCCTAACTTCGCATCCAGGCAATTCATGCACTCTTCACATGGGAACTTTACATTCCACAGATGGCCTTGCAGACGTAAGAAAATATATTATTCTAGGTGAATGACACAAAATGATAGGTAGCTAGAGCAAAAGTAACTAAACGACTTTCTTGACCATCGTGTTTTGTGGACAGTGCACCTACTTGCACAAATAACATTAAAAACTCCTATGTTAATATAAGGAGGTAAAAACATATGGTATGCTTATATAGTGTGTAAGTATACCATACCTTTCTACAATCCTTTTTAAATATAGTACCAGTTTGAATTTATCACTTATTCTCTATATGTGAAGTTTCCACGTAACAGGCAAATTTATGTTGTCCTAGCTGCTTTTGTTACTATTAAGATCACACCTGTTCTGCCCATGAGTAGTACATCTGTAATGATGCACGTTGTGAAAGAAGGTCGACACCTAGTGTCCTTCATTGGTAGTTTAGGTGGTACCTCGAAGTTACGACCTCCATGCTTGAATGAAAATGACAAGTTACGTGAATAGTACTAGTTGCTATGTGTCAATTCGATGTTACCTATAGTGTAAAGAATGTTGAATTTAAACAGTCTGATAGATGCTATTGGCCTGATCAGTGTTAAGAGGAAGTTACTTGATCCATTAGAAGCAACTGTTCCCTGTCTGTAAAACAAATACACACACTGTGTTTATATTTATAAATTAATAAATATGGTTTACTTTTATTTTACATTATCTCCAGTTCCTTATTTCTTTCTCGAATTCAGTTACTAAGAAATGCAGTACTTCTTCATAATATATATCTGGTTGAAGTTCATATTATTAAACAGACCTATTCCACTGCTCCAAAGTCAACTCTGTTTTACTTGAATATACCACAGAGTGGCTTGGAAAGAAACCGTTTTGGTGCCGTGACCAAAGGATAGTTTTCGTGGTATTTGCTGTTTTTTGCTGATATGTATATTGCTCTTTACTCCTTCTCTTGTGTGATATACGTTTTAAATGGCATCATAGTTAGGGAAACTGCAGTAATCACAACTAGAAGGGATTACAACAAAGAGGAAAATTTAGTCACTGAAAATAAATAGTTTTACAATAGAGTTTTCAGGTCACTGGGAAATCCTTTTCTGGGCATTGGATTTTTACCAATGCCATTAAGTACTTGGGGGCATAATTTGCTTTGCTTCTCTAATGGGCTCCTGGTTACAGCCAAAGGCTCTCCCCTAAAAACACTCAGCCATCACCTAGTTGAGATGTCATCAACATTGTGGGTACAGGATAGCAGGCAACATCAGTGACCCAACCTTTGGATGAACAGTCAGTCCCTGGTCCAGTGTGACAGAACAATTAGTTGCTCTCTGAATCATCCGCCAGCCTGTTCAACCACAGGTTTTCCTGGGATTCGAAGTTGCCCTGGCAAGATAACTTAGAGAAGCTTTCTACTGCGTCATGGATCATTGTTCTCACCATTAGGGGCTTGCCATCTCACTTGCTGGTGAGATAACTCCTATTCTATTGTGACTTTGACGAGTATTATGGCGAATTTACTGTGACTAATGAAAGCATGGGAGTCCTGTACAGACCATAACATTCGGTCTCAGACTCAACAGGTTCCATACTTCTACAACGACTCTCACTTGTTCATGCTTCCCTTGCATTGAGGTTGATCTTCAGCAATAGAATCTGTTTGAATGATCTAGGTACATCAGATATTAGCATCTCTGTTTTCTGGGTCACTGGCCACAATGAGAAGGAAGTCATAGACATTTGCAGCATCAACAAAAGTCCTACCTCCAAGAGTGAACTTCTCTCAAACTCCAAAACTGTCTCCCTTCAGTGACCAAATATTCCTCTTGATTGCACGTCCTTTAGTTATATTTTAAAATACAAGGGAACGCATAATGAAATAAACGAAAACTTTGAGAACATGTTAACATTGAAATGAAACATTACAAGTTAAAATATGACTGAAAAGAAAAACCTTTTACAAATTTTACTTAACATATACAACCACTACTCTTAAAGAATGAAATACATTGCAAAATAAATCCTTTTGATTATAATAGAAAATGTAACAAAAGCCATAACAGAATTAAATAATAAAAACAATAAAATAAAGCCCTTTAACAATGAAAATAAATGCAACAAATGTTTGTTTACTTGTTTAAATTTATGCAAAGCTACTCGAGGTCTAACTGCGCTAACTGTCACTAATTTTGAAAGTGCTTGACTAGAGGATAGGCAACTAGTCAACACCACCCACTGCCAGCTGTTTAGCTACTCTTCACCAACGAATAGTGCGATTGACAGTCACATTATAACACCATTATGGCTAAAAGTTTGAATATATTCAGTGCAGATATTCGAACTCGCGACCCGTAGTTTGCGAGTTGTGTACCCTAATCATCAAGCCATGCCTTACCTTACATTATATGAAAATAAATCCTTCAGCACTGAAATACATATACTAGAAATACCCTTTAACAACAACAAAAAAGCAATATACAAGTACACACTTACGTATACAAAAGTTACAATTAACAACACAACAACAACAAAAAAAAGACGTACGCACTGAATAAAAAAAAAAGAACAGAACAACATTAGCTTTGGGAAATGATACTGCGATCAACTGACGACGGAGCTTTGGTGTGAACACCAGATGCAACTGTTCTGACTTTGGCGGGCCTCAATCTCAACATTTAGCATCTTCTTCATTGTTCGAGTGATAGAAAGGCTGACAATTAACTGAGCTGTTTTGGCTGGCGTCTCCTCATGATGGTCTTAAGTTATGTTGATGATCCACCAGGCAGTGGAAAATTCTTTGGGAATAGTCAACAACAGGGAGGTATTGTGGTCCTTGCTTTCCAACCTACTAAATATTTTTTCTGATGCGAAACAGCATCTGATGTCTTGAGAGAGTCGCTGATTTTTCAATCACATGAACTAAATCAAAGGTAAAGACTATAATGAAGAACTACCTAACAGCTCAGAAAGAAAGTGTTACAAAGCCCTTTAAACTGAGTTTTAAAACTCATAGCGCCTCTTGCGCTATTGATATGAAGCACTTTTACCCTGTTTTTTTCTATTCTTTATAGGTAACTTATTTTCCTTACTTTTAATAGTGCAACTGATTGGATCCATTTTTGTGTTTGACACGTGTGTCGCAAAGTGTTTTTTTTTTTTAAATAATAACAAGCCAATTTACACATTTTATAAAATTGTTATGAAACCTTTTTTGCTTCCATCTTAATGAATAGTCATTTATAGGAGAATTCTTTCAGTTATCTATGTTTCACTGTTTCTATAACGTTTTTCGTGGAATATGGTATACATATAACATAAAAACCATAATACATGATAAAATTCCTCGGGTTC